GGACCATTCGAAGCGTTAAACTGCCCGAATGCGGGAGTGCATTCCAGAAAAAGAAACCTGCAGTAGTGGAGAACGCATCAAGCGGTAGGATGCTTCAAAGGCTGCTCTAACAGGTTGCTGAATTTTCGTGTGAGGGTTATGGAGATTTTTGGTACTAACTCCGAGAAAAGAGTGGACCAAAGGATAGATTTCAGCGCTACATTGGGACAACGGTTACAATCCATATATAATCGGCTATGTCCGTGCGTGTGCGTCTAACTCTTTGACACGAATATCATAGCGCCGGTTCAACTTCAACTCGCTGATCCAACTTTAACCCATTGCTCGAGCTATTTTCAACTATTTTTCTACATTTTGCTGGAAAATGAACTGTGACGGTTTGGCGTATTTTGCACACTCTACCTCGCCTAAAGAAAGAGTGCCTGGCGAAGCCAGGCCGGCCCGGCGAAGCCGGGTCCGTGATTAAGAAGGAGGAGCACCCAGCGACAGCCGGGTGATCCGACTCATTGAAGATATTGAACGAGTGGAAAACAGTTTCACTAGGAAAGTTTTTATAAGAGCGTTAGGATACATATACAACAATATTCCACGGGCCATTATTCGAAATAAAATGCTTAATCTGGATTCCCTTTCTAAACGTAGATTAAAAAACGACCTAGTCACCGTTTCAAATCCGTCCATGGTAATGGCGTTCACAGCCGAGTAAGCTATCTCTTTTCCTGTTTCAATCGTGCTAGAGTGAGCCCTAGCTAAGATTTACATTCGAGATTGCCGCAGGTCTTCGCCGCGTAGCCACTCTCAACTCACGTGCTGACTCTGAGTACTTCTATATATACAGTTAGCAGAGCCATTCGTTTGCCTCTGAAGCCCTCCCACTTCAAACGACAAGTCTCGCGTTTCCTCAAGAAGTGCAGCTAGTTGTGCTCACAGACTCCTCCTCTCATTGCACTGGTTCCTTTCACTTTTTCTTTCTTGTTATTTGTTTTCTTATTCGAAGTTTTATCTACTTTTCCGAAGCAATGCCCTTTCCTTTAATTGCTACTGCTACTATTTATACTCATTTTAAATATTCAAATTATGCTTGATTTATTATGGAGTCGCCTCCCGGCGCAACCGGAGCGGCTCCTTCTGATTACGACCCACGGCCTGCGCGGGCGGGCGCGGCTTTGCCGCGCGTGCTTTCTTTCACATATTTCTAGATTCAACTGATATCCCCTTTTGTTCTGCACTCCATTTTTTTCCGGTGTCTGAAGTACTCTTGAGCTATTTTACAGATTCTTCGTCTGGCTCCGCAAGCTCGGAGCAGCCCCATGGCCCACCCGCCACGCAGTCCTCAGCAGGCGACCTCCTGCTGAACCTTAATCGACACTTTTCCCTGCTCCTCGGATACCTGAAACCGTTTCTTTAGCAACATATCATTCTCGACAATCCAGAGAATAACCGCTACAATGTTTTTGCCCAACATTAATGAACCGGCGACACCCTCTGGCTGACCGTAAATCCTTTTTCACGCATTGGGATACTTCTGAACCAGGTTTATGACAAGCCACTTTTTGGTCCTGGCTTCCGGCCCCACTCGCGGCGGCTACCGCCCATACTTTTGACACCTAACCGTCCCGGACTCTTCGAGGGGGGCTCTGGGCATTTTATGCACTTTTTGTCCTGGACTCCGACCACCGCCCACCCCAGGAGGCAGGCTCCGCCCACAGTGGTTTTTGCCCGCAATCCTCACCGGCGACCCTCTATTGACCTTAATCCACTTTTTCCGCTCTTCGGAGTGCTCTGGGACAGTTTTAGAGAATTTTCGTCTGGCTCCGCCCACCTCGGGCTGGCCCCGCCCACAATATGTCTACCCCACATTTCTCAATCGCGACCCCATTGCGACCTTAATCCACTTTTTCCGGTCTTCGGAGTGCTCTGGAACCGTTTTACAGACCTTTTTATCTTGTCCCGCCCACCTCGGAGCAGGCTCCGCCCACAATGTTTTTGCCCCACATTCTTCACCGACGACCCTCTGCTGAACTTAATCCACTTTTTTCCGGTATCTGGAGTGTTCTGGAACCGAGCTACAAACTTTTAAAATGAATACCCTGCGATTTAGGGCAAGCTCCGCCCACTGTGGGCGGGTCTCAACACACTTTGAGCGTGCCCTATATTCGCCGGATATTTACATTCTACACTGAGTTTTTTGCGACTTCCAACACTCGCGAACCGGGTCACTGAATTTTGCGAGAAGCACCGCCCACCTTGAGTACGCCCCGCCCATTTAGGGTGTACCTGCCACAGTTAGTCTTTCGACTCCTTCTCCTTATTCTAACACTCTTAGTCTCCTTTTCCCCCATGTCTTGAGCTTTGGCTCGCATAAGAAGTCGGAATTATTGAGCATTTTTTTCAAAGCGAACCCCCAATTTTCGGCAGAGTGCCCGCCCACTGTGCGCGGCTTCACATTAGTCCAGAGTGTGTTTTTTATTTCTTCTTCTCGATGCCCTACCTATCCCCACCTTGACTGGACCTTTCCAAGTCGTTCTTCAGGTCGAAACCGAATTTCCGGACAAACAAACTTACAAACTCACAAACTTACAAACTTACAAACTTACAAACAAACAAACACATAAAAAACAACAAACAGACAAAGCGAATTAATGTACCATTTTCAGCTTTTATAATCGGACATCTTTTCAAACCAAGATCGGAGCACTTTTCAAACGGCAAATTGGAACACTTTTCAAAATCAACAAATCGGACACTTTTCAAAAACCAAAAATTGGTACACTTTTTCAAATCAAAACGAACACTTTTTTTCAAACCCAATCGGCACATTTTCAAACAAATCGGACACTTTTTCCAAATCGAACGGACACAGTCGCTCTCTATTACCACCCTTACAATTAGGTGGTTGATAACTAGACCACACTAGGTACTGTTGCAAGCTCCGCCCCATTATCCCCGCCCATTTCTCAGCAGACAGGGTTTTCCGAGATGCTTCATGAAATCTGCTCCCTCGGCTTTTTTTCGTTTTTGCCCTTCACACACATTTGAACTGGAAAAGGTTGATACCTATACAGATCTGACTCCGCCCACTTAACAATGAAGTTACGTAAGTTCTGAATTTTATAACTTTTTTCGACGTAGTTCTTTTCACATCCAATCTTCACAAAACGAATAACCATGCACAGCACACCAGGCCCCGCCCCTCTGACCCCGCCCACTTGTGTTTATCGCGGAATTTTGGTTTTTCTTCCGGATTTTCGCTTTTTAGGCTTTAGCGATTGGCTCCGCCCACCAATGGAAGCTCCGCCCACTTTGGGGAAGCCCCGCCCACTTTTCGAAAATGATGCAAATCGGCGGGCTAGTGTCCGTACTGGCGATTACGGCCTCTCCCGGCACATAGAATAAAAAAAAGGGAAAAACCGGAAAAAAATGGGAAACTTTGTTCTGAGCGACGGGAGAGGCCGTAATCCGCCAGTACGGACACTAGCCCGCCGATTTGCATCATTTTCGAAAAGTGGGCGGGGCTTCCCCAAAGTGGGCGGAGCTTCCATTGGTGGGCGGAGCCAATCGCTAAAGCCTAAAAAAGCGAAAATCCGGAAGAAAAAGCAAAATTCCGCGATAAACGCAAGTGGGCGGGGTCAGAGGGGCGGGCCTGGTGTGCTGTGCATGGTTATTCGTTTTGTGAAGATTGGATGTGAAAAGAACTACGTCGAAAAAAGTTATAAAAATTCAGAACTTACGTAACTTCATTGTTAAGTGGGCGGAGTCAGATCTAGGGGGCGGGGACAGTGGGGCGGGGCTTGCAACAGTACCTAGTGTGGTCTAGTTATCAACCACCTAATTGTAAGGGGTGTGTCCGATTTGATTTGAAAAGTGTCCGATTTGGTTTGAAAAGTGTCCGATTTGGTTTGAAAAGTGTCCGATTTGGTTTGAAAAGTGTCCGATTTGGTTTGAAAAGTGTCCGATTTGGTTTGAAAAGTGTCCGATTTGATTTGAAAAGTGTCCGATTTGGTTTGAAAAGTGTCCGATTTGATTTGAAAAGTGTCCGATTTGATTTGAAAAGTGTCCGATTTGGTTTGAAAAGTGTCCGATTTGATTTGAAAAGTGTCCGATTTGGTTTGAAAAGTGTCCGATTTGGTTTGAAAAGTGTCCGATTTGGTTTGAAAAGTGTCCGATTTGGTTTGAAAAGTGTCCGATTTGATTTGAAAAGTGTCCGATTTGATTTGAAAAGTGTCCGATTTGGTTTGAAAAGTGTCCGATTTGGTTTGAAAAGTGTCCGATTTAAAGTGAAAATGGTATATATATATGGGGTGATGTTTCATGTTGGTTCAACATGCTCCTAGCGGGCATGTAATGAATAAATAATCGCTGTTGTGAAGCGTTCCGCTTGAGTGAGATCTGGGCGCTGTTTATCGACGGGGGGGGGGGGGGGATTCTGCTTCAAATGAGATTTGCCAAACATCCAAATCAGGTACCTTTGTTACAGTTTACACGTTTAGGATGGCTGGCTAGATCGGTCTTAGCTCCAACTCACAAAGCGTTCACAAGTTTTACCAGAGTGAGATTTGTAAACCGGAACCAGGGAAGCAATTATAATACAAAATGCTCCCCCCCCCCGTCGATAAAAGCACCTGAAATCTGTTACAGAGCATCATATTGCACGCAATTCACAATGTAATAAGTTTTATGACTTCTTAGACAAAACTTTCACAAATTGTCCATTTCCAGATTTATGAGCTATTGCAAAGTAGCAAGGACGCTCCTGATGGCGGCTTCATTTACCCGTGTAGGTGTACTTCCTTTTTGTTGCTGTTTCCTTGAATTTATTTGACTTCAGATCTTATCTATGTATCTATTATCAGTGGCTGAACACTGAAGATTTGTACTTATATTCACTGAAGTTTGACAACAAGTTTATTTAAGCATGCGTGAAGTTTTTCGGCACTTTGAGTCGTGTGTACCCGGACGTCATCAACAGCTTTCCATCGTTTGTTCCCGCTGTAATTGACATGGTTGGAGGCTATTCTTTTCAACCTTGACTTTTATTTTTTTTTCGTCTAGGAGGTGCTGTACGGAAGAGAACACTTGCATAGCTTGTTTGCTCATGAGAGAAGAGAGCTGAAATTTGTTTTGTGTGTACTGCTGTGTCTCTCGAGATTTTTACATGGGAAACTATTTGACGGCCTTACTTTTCAATACAGTTCTTTCGGGAGGACCCACCGTTAGTCCGCTATCACTTCTGGCTGCTAGTCAGTACGAATCGATCGCTACTGTCTAGCGTTCGCATGTGACAGGACTTGGCGAAATCATAGCGAAGGAAAAATTTCGATAAAATTCCATCCTAAATTTTAAATAGTCAGTTGACAAAATGGTCTCAGTTTTTTTTTGTCTTTACCCTAGTCTAATTCACACTCGTTTCGAGCTCTAAGCAACACTTAAACATGTGTTTGCACTTTCATTTCAGGTGCGACATTTCGACTTGGTGGAGGCTTCACAACGGGTGTTAGCCTTTGATACCCTAGCACAGGTCTCCTACAAAGCTGAAGCGAAACAAAATCTACAGAGATTACTTGGTGAATACTGCTTATTTTGTTTACGATGGGAGGAGGGAAAGGAATACGCTGTAGTGGAGGTTGATGTATGTGTCGAAAAAGAAGCGAGGCAGAGCCGTCTCAGGTCATCCATTCTTTCTTGGTAACAAGTTACCCGTTTTAATCTGTCATGATCGAATGTATTTTGTACATAGGCCGACTCACGCAAATCAATCTATAGACCATTCAATAACCCATCTCGATTCTGACTGAAATTACTATTCGTGGCGCATCCAGAATGATTTGATCTGCGACGAGAACTTCATCCTATATCTTTTTTTTGAGAAGTTTTCAATAGACAAGGCTCACCTAGTGCATTTGTAATAATCCAGTGTACAGGTGACCAAGGCATATCACGTGTGATGGAAGCCTTTGCTGGATCGTTATCCAGCGGACCAATTGAACTTCGTGTTCGACATCTTGACGCATTAGCGACTCTTTTCGAGCATGGTTAGTTTTTTGTAGAAATAAATTTTTGCTGAATCTCCATGTCCATCTATAGCTAAAGATTTGCTCTGAAATTCTATGGGAGTTTTCATCTAATAAGCTTCCGAAATACATTGCGTCCTGTAGTGTTCACATCCTCCTTACGTGAATGCTCGGTATTATGTCTAATTATATGTTAATTTTGTAAAACGAAGTTGCCTGGTGGCATTGTTTATTTGGTCAGACGTCTTTGCCGTCTCGTCATCTTAAGAACCTCGATGTAACTCGAGGCTCTCAGTCGCCTACCAACGTCGTACCCTATTATCTGAGGAAAAGCTGCTTTTATTTGCGGAATCGCAGAGATGTCCACGATCCCTAGACACAGCAGCAACTACGACGTTGAAGGCGATCTCGCGTTTATACTCGGGAATAGTTCAAAATCTGACACAATTGTAATTACAGTTCGTGTTAAAGTTGCTTTTACTATCGAAGTAATAGTCAAAATTTGCAGGTGACGATGCGTTGTTGGCGCAGTGGTTCTCCTATTTGGGCTCTCCAATGCCATCCGTGCTGTTAAGCCTTGTGCAAAAGCCGTTTCCAGATCTTCGTCTTGCATCACTTCGCACGTTTGCCTCCCTACTGGCACATCCTTTCGCTCTGCAGATATTTCTTGGTTTGTCAGGGTTTGTTTCAAACGAATTTTTTTATCTGATTAGACTTGCCTTTTTGAGAAGTTTTTTCGTTATCTTTTTCGAATGGTTAACGGCTATCGATTATAATCAAATAAGGTTAAAAATTGATTGCTCATTGAGCTGAATTTTTGCAGCTTTCTCGACTGGCTACTGGACCAGTCCACTGAACACGAATGGGAAGCTGGTCGTCTGAAAGCGGACATAATCCGGGCTCTGATCGCTAGTAATTCTCCACATATCGATGCTCCGCTGAAATTGAGAATGAAGGCATATTTCGTGGCACCTAGGAAAGATCCCGAGGTGGAGATGATGCTGTAGTAACTAGGATATTGAGCTATTTTATTGTTTGTAGTCATTGCACGAAATCTCTTGTTTTATGTATTGTTCGGCAATGGAATGACTTCTCTTCCAGGGGAGAATTCCCTGTTCAACATCCTTCAAGAATCCTTTATTACGAAAAATGAACAAGGCCCAGAGAGAGCTTTTTCCAGTAGTGTATTGTTTCAAAGCGACATTTTTGTCCAGATGTGCGAGAAAATACTATGAGACTGCAATAATTCATCCGTATGAGTCAGAAAAGTGTTCTGTGAGGCAACTGCTGGTGAGGGTGTGGAAAGAAAGAAAGCTCTCGCTCATGACACACACCATCGAATATCAGGTTGCACGCACTGAAGAAAATGAAAGGTTCAAGGTAATATATTCCCGGTGTTTTCAGGCAAGAGCAAGCTTTCCACTACTGATTCTACCGTCGCAAGAAACTAAATCCTCCCCTCATTACCGCTGAAATCTAGGAAGTCCACAATGTTTGTGACAGATTGACCACTTGGACGCCGCTACCGGAGACTGTCACTTCTACAGTGGCAGACCTCATCAGTAACCATCAGAACTGTGAAGCCTTAAGACCATCTTGCTTTTGTTCATGGAGTGGCTTGTCACTAGTCCCCCGCGGGTTGCAGGGTCAACTGACATTCTACTTGATGCATTGTGGAATACCGCGACTGAGAAGGAGGAGCTTAAAATTGGTTGTTGGAGAACCATTGACCCGTACTTTCAGCTTCTTATCGCTGCGCTCTCATGAAGCGAACTGTTTTTAGGCGCTCTGCTAGTCCTGAAGTGGCTAGCGAATGATGAATCCAACGTAGCTTAGTTTTTTTCAGCACAGTTTCTCGCTGCATCTCCTCTTTGATATACCCGTTTTTCTTCAACATGTTGGCGACCACAGTGAGGTGTTGTCCTCACAATTTTCTTTTTTAGTCAGTGTTCGATGCTTTAAATGATCCCCACATTCATTAGCACATCACATTACGGTGGACCGCTAAGTGTTCAGCTCTCGTGCAGCTACATTCTCCGTCAATATTTCGGACCAGAGCACATCGTAAAGGATTCCCTAACAGGGGAGGGTCGTATTTGGGCTGATAAAAATTTATTTTGATAGTTGGTTTTTCTGTCCCACAGGTGTCGTAAAGAGGGGACGTATTTCTCGTCCGACTTTCTGAAGAAGGTTGCTGACTTTTCGTGATTTCGTGATTTTTCCTGTTTCACGTCGCTATTCCCCCTGAATTTTCCTGTTTCACGTTGCTTTTCCTGTTTCAAGATGCTATTCCCCCCAGCCAGCCCCCCCCCCACCCCCTCGATGGCTTGATTCGATGAGGAGGGAACTAGAGGGAGGGGGTAGTCGTAACCCCCTGACAAAAAGGGGTCGTACGGACTCGACCAAAATTCCCAACCAAAGATGTGCCCTGGTCGGACCGCAGTATTACTACTATATATCCGAATCTTTTTATAGTTCTGTCTATCAACAGCTCTGGGTTTTTTTTTCATTTTTTCCTTTGTGTTAAATAGATGAAAATGTTCACCGTCGCATCATGCAACATATGGTTCCCTGTGGGGTTAAGGGAGCAGGGCTAGAAAAGAGGGTCATTTCAGTGGACTTCCTCTTTGATGTGCCTATATGACTGAAGTCGTGACAATGTGAAATTTACATCACGCTTTTTTTACGGTTTTCACGTTCGAATAACGTTCCTGGATAGAGTGCATAATAATGGCCTGCTTTTCGACCAATCTTTCTTCTCAGTGACCTGAATATAAGTCGTGTTTGAGAGGATCCTTTATACCTAAAGGCGCATCACATTTAAGTTTCTGGAGGGATATTGTTGTAAGGGGAAATCCCAAGAAGGGAAAAGGCTCACCGGTCTGTCACGGTCATGGGGACTCCTATTTGAAATTGTGGAGTGGATGCGAATGGAAGGGTTGCTAGGATTGTGGGTTGTTAGAACGGGATGTGCGCGAGGAGCACAATGGTTACCAGTAAGCATCCGACAAAGCGTTTTTCATATCCCCGTACAAGTTTGAGATCAGAAAACAGTTTTCGCTGAAGTCGCCAAGATGTTGGAACTATGTAATTTTTTCAAAGACGATAATCTCGATAAAATTATTATAAAGTTCTTTGTAAAGCACTTTTATTTCCTTGAGTACTGTCAGTCATTAGAAAAGATAATGCCGTTAATGAATTAACAGGACTTGTTTATTGTGTTCAAGAGAAAAGAACGTACAATTTTGCTTGTTTTGTCTCATACCATTTCCTTCGTTTGATTGTGAGAACTGCCGGATGAGGGTGGAGTGTAGACGAGTGATGATGACCATATCCCTATGAATTTTCTGTTCACTAGGAGTCAGTACTGCAAATTCATTTTTGTTGACGTGCACCTTATTCGGGTTATTGATAGTAATATCAAGAGTAATAAAAATTTTTGTTCAGGAAGTACTGAGTGTCTAGAGGCGAAACTTCGCATGCTTGCTCTCTTGTTCCGTTGGTCAATTATTAACTTTAAACATTGTTGCAGTTTTGTTTACTATGCCGTAGACGTTAATTTTTACAGTGGTCTAAAGTAGAGCCAAGTCTCTCGAGCTCCAAGCGTGAGCTACCCTTGCCTTCGAGGTGCTTCTTCACCCTTCACCGCAGTTGGCCCCGATGTGCCAAAGTACTCATCCCCATAAATGCAACAGATTCTGTAGACCCCGCTGAAATGACACAGTCGCCCTCCCACTTGGACAAACTATAAAGTTTGGGATGCACGTGCCCGTGCATAAACGGATATACAGGGGGGGGGGGCAAAAAAGTCACTTTTTTCATTGACTTTCGAGGCGCTATAAGTTACACTTTATTAAATTCTGATCGGACATTTCTACCACCATATTAAAGAGCATATTAAATACTATCATGATACTCCGCCACAGCCTTCTGGAGGAGCGCCATCGAGAGATTCTGCCACGCGACCGTGAGTGGTACCTGAGCGCGAGATCGTTGATTTCTCCGCCACTGTAGACCACCCTATTGAACTCCGCCCGAACCAGGTAATTGAGGGGGTTTAGGTCAGGTGACCTGCTTAGATATTCCATCTTCTTCAGGTACTCAACGCCCTTCCATTCCAAGTAGGCGAGAGTTTCTCCAACGCCCTTCGATTCCATGTGGTGGCACCCAATGCTGTAGCAGTACAAAGTTTCCAAGAAGGTACGGGCGACGACATGTGAGGAGGATATTCTTCTCGAGTTGCTCGATGTAACCGCCAGCGCTCACCTTCAGTCCGGAGTCCACGAAGAAAATATTGGTCTTTCCATTTCAGGTACGTCCGGCGACTGCGGTGAAGATGATGTCCTAGACCGTAGCGACGTCGGAGCTGCTCGATGTTGGAGGTCTTCCAGATCGAGAGTACTGGTCTCCAGGTAGCTATCCATGGGTGACTCCATACTAGAAGTTTCGCAGCTGTTTGGAGGTGACATGAATTCCAAAGGTCTTCTCCAGTCAGGCTGCGACTGGAGATGACTTCATATTTTGGTGTACATGAAGGTGATGGGCGAGAGCCAGCTCCTGCTTATCGAGGAACATCTTGGGTATCTTCCGCCCTGGTACTCGTATCCACGTCTTCTGTCTGGGCTGCGAAAACTTTGCTGATATGTGACTCGGTCGAAGTGACTTTTTTTGCCCCCCCCCCCTGTATAGCCGACTGAGTGCACGACGCTGCTTTAAGTTAGTGGGTGGTACATGTACAGTGGCCACCGTGCGTTCTGAACCAGTCCCCCAGACACTTCCTGATGGAATTGCTGACTTCTTTGGAGAAAAAGCGGTAAAATGACTGCCTGCAAAACTGCGGTAAAATAAACGGGACTTTTCCGCTCATTGAGTCACGAACCAACATGAACCGCGTCTACTGTTCATGGCGTCATTTCTTGCTCTGTATGAGGTCGCAGCGGTCCGCTACCCACACAGTCTCGCAATTTTACTGCCAGTTGGGATCCATATCGCTCATCCTCTCTCGAACAGACATATGCCGCTGCTCGAAACATGCGCCCTAGAAGTGCTCGCTTGCTCTGGAAAGGATGGTGGTGACTGACGGAGCTAGAAAGTCCCTCTAGTTTTACTTCACGTCCCTGAAGAAATCAGCGATTTGTTTAAGAAGGATTTGAGGAGGCCTGGTTCATACACAAATTGGACACACCCCTTACAATGGGCAGTTGAGAACTAGACCACACTAGGTACTGCTGCAAGCCCCGCCCAACATCCCCGCCCACTTCTTAGCGCGGTCATGGTTTTCCAAAATGTTTTATGAATTCTGCTTCTTCGAATTTTTTTTCACTTTTGCTATTTGACACACACACCACCACCACACACATTTAGACTGGATTGGTACCGACAGATATGTGACTCCGCCTACTTTTCAATGGAGTTACGCAAATTTTGAATTTTTAAAACTTTTTTCGACGTCGCTCTCCTCACATTCAGTTTCACAAAACGAGCTCATAGCCATGCATTCACACAGTAGCAAGCTAAGCCTCATCTCTCTGCCCGGGCCCAATTTTGTGTTTTTCGCGGAATTTTGACTTT